TCAACCAAATTTGCCGAAAGTTTGGATCGATCCTTAGCAATCCCAAAGAAAATTCGCCCCAACGTAGACGCTACCTAGTGGTTTCAGTGAACAAATATGGGCAGACCTGGAGCAATTTATTTTGTATTCTACAGCAAATTGGTTAATTATGGGATAAGGTCCGATCAAAATAAACATTAGATTATTTTGAAAGCTACTTCTGGATTCTGGATTACTGGGAAAATTCTGGAGAAAACCTATGTCTTGCCATTTTGTTGAGAAGAACATGAGCTCTCAATAACAAAAAAAAAGGCACAAAAATAAACTACGCTTCGGCAACTGGCATAACCACCGTTTAACTTTCAAATAAGAATTGATAGAAAGCAAAACCAAGCGCCATGCGGTTTGGCGAAAATAGGTATAAACCCTGCGACTACCAGTCGAGACCACGATTAATTTTTGGAGAACGGGAAGACAAAGCACCAATTATCAAGAATATAGGTCAAAAAACTCGATAAGATATTACCTTCCTGGAGAGAGTCCATTTTCTTCTTTTTTGAATTGAAACCTCCGCCGTAACTTCGTTTTCGTGGAGGCTCGGAACCATTCTCTGGACTCTTGTCGCCACCCATTTCAGAAACCGGTACAAAAAACGTTTCATTCGTATCATCAGCGTCAGCGCCTTCCTCAGCCATTTCTTCCGGGGTGGCAGAACTGCGAGGACTGTCGACTAGGCTGTTAACTTTCGATTCGTTGTCAACTTGAGGTGAAAATTGAACCCTGAAAGGAGTGGTTAGAGATGAAAAGAACGGCTGAGGTGGACAAATGATACTCACGGTTCATTTCTTCCAACATCCAAGAATTCCAAGTCCTTTTCGAACACCCACTGTCTTCCGGAAGGATTTGGTTGTTGCAGAGAGTACCTCCGCTTCGTATCACGCAGTCCTTTCCAGCTTGCTTTCAAGTCCAGCACTGTAAAAATGTAATCTTAGCGAGCAGTTACTTGGCAACAATTAGTTTAGTAACAAATGTCAAGTTAATTTAATTAGTTTCATTTTATTATAATCTTTGACTGTTTCATAATGACCGTTTGCTATGTTAAGAATACTTGCTCAGTAACAATAAGTAGGACCACGCACTCAAATTTCCTTGCAACTCTAAGCGAATTCAAATCCCTGACACAGATGCACTAAAAGTGTTCATTCCGTCCAAAGTTGAGAACTAAAAACTGTTTAGCCATGAAAACAAGCGCGAATATAGGCTACTATCGGCAAGAGCCCTGGAAGCCATGTTACAGGGAGTGAAAGGCGTGAAACGGGTAAAAAAATATGACTGCAGAGACAACAGTCATTGATTTTCAATTGCAAGTATATTAAGGAGTGAAAAAAGGTGCACGCTCACGAGTTTACAATTTGAAAACGATGTGAACCTACATCCGCCTCGAAACCCTTTTCTTTCCAGTGCAGTTAAGATCCTCGACCAAGCCAAATTCTTCTTATCCAAACGGTAATAATCTCTGCATTCCGTGTTCCACAGCATTTCTTCCTCTCTAATGAGCCGTATGAATTCCTTCTTCAATTCCGTATTCATTCTGAAAGCCGAAGTTATTAATTTTCCATCCATGTCGACAACTGAAACAATGAAGTTCACTTAACACGTTGACGACCGCCGTTATGCGCGCACTGCTTCAACATTTTTCGTATTCTCTCATCAATAGGCATTAATCCTTCAGCGTTTTCATTATCAGTAATGAAAAAACTGTTTTTCGGATCCAATAATGTACATGGACCGTTGTGGAACAGAAAAAACGCCAAAAAAATAAGGAAAAGTAGTCTGCTTCATGTGAAAGTGTGGTATGACATCATACCACACGGTCCTCAACGTGTTAATATAAGTCAGATTATGAATATTAGGAATTAGAATATAGGTCTAGCTACATTTGAAAGTGAAAACAATCCACAGTGAGGCGACTATTCCCTACCGTAGAAAATTATGGTAATTAGGTGCGCTTTTCGAAGTTGTAGGCTCTGCATCGCCGAATACTGAAGAAAGCCATCGTCTCACTGCGGACTCTTTGTTGTTCCTAGAAAAAGCAAAGCTTATTCAGAGGAAGCGCAGCTATCCAGTACCCCTCATTATGCAAAAAGCAAAATCTCTGAGTCCTAAGCGATTACAGGGTCTAAAGACAGTTCCGAATGAACTAATCAACGCTAATTTTTAAATTTAAACATGAATTCAAACTAAGATCTCTCATCGAAACCCGGACACATTTATTTCTCCCGACGGGTGAGGTCATTAACGAGCTACGCTTGTTACAAGTTAAGGCTAGGTTAGGCTCAGTCTCAGACCAAGGTTTATCCATTGGCTGAACTAAGCCTAGAGTTAGACTTGGGCTCGCTTCAAGCACGTGATATAATGGCTGATATGCACCCATATCTCCAATAGTTCCAGAAACGAACTTTGTCCAAATTACAGATATGGGAAGTTAAGATAATCGTTAAAACATCTTTTGAAAAATAGTAATTCTCGGTTTAACGACAAAACCGTCAGTTTCTGATTACGACGACCTCTACATAACGCCAAGTTAACGAATAAATGCTCCATCTAACAACCTCGTGGGCACAAAGCAATGGCCAACTTAAAACACAACTACAGCAGTATATTTGCACATTAGTACATAATACACTGTATTAAATCAAATTAATCATACATTAGCAGATAGACAGACGTGTTTACAGATTAGGCTACAGTCACACTCAGCGATGGTGAAGAACCGGTCGTCGTGCTGTAGCCGTCCCTAAGCGGGAAAACGCGAGAACCAATTTCAAAAAAAAAGAGGAGGAAGCGAGAGCAATGGGTGTGTTCACAGAGTAGTGACGATTGGAGCGCGATATGGTGATGACCCAGCGATGATCTTTATTGTCGCCAACCTAACTGCTTTTCTCTATGGCTAAAGGCACGGTTTAAATTTCCACCGCACTCTTAGACAGAATCACATTTGTATGTGTAGGTTGTAACGAACACAACGAGGGAACCATTTTCAACTATTTCTGGGTGCATATCTATTTTGCGCCATCTCTGGAAGGGTCGTGGATGGATTGCTGGAGGGTGAATCCCATACATTAATGGAGTGTACGTCATACTCACACATAATGTAATCAGTAAATACCGAAGGGCCTGTCACCTACACCTTACGCTTGACCTAATCCAATTGATTTGACACGATCCTAATTGTAAGATGTGAAGGCGTGATACTTGGCCAGAACTTTGGCATCACGAGATATTTACATTTTGAGGTTTAGAACCCGGGATTTCTTCTCTTAAGAAGTTACATTCGTGCATGATTAGCCTTACTAATCAGACGCATTTATCACAATCACAGATCAGCAATAATCTTTTAAACCTGCAACATCGTTGTAAATCAACCTCAGGTACCTCTGTTGCGGCGACTAAAATGCCCAACGGCCTTGTGGAAAAACAAGAACCTAACTTCAGTATCCTGCAGACAGGCTACCGTAACCCTTTGACGTGACATGCGTGCCCGCTGCACATACGTATCGGAACTCAGCTCGACGACGCCCCTTACTGCTTAGGATTCCGTGATGGAAAACACCGAATGTGCCAGTTTACCCAATCCTACTCTCCCTCGTTAAAGGCGCAACCCAGGCAGAGATCGTGTAAACGCCTTCCTACGGTCTGTAACATAGATCTCTAGAAATGTGGCGTTCTCGTGCACGGAAACCAACCGATAAGAACGCTTGGGCCTTGCAAAGTAAGCTGCCCAAGCTGCAGAGCTTTTTTCGTCTTATCGGACTGTTGTCTTGCGATCTCTCATCTGTAGCGCTCTCTCGCCCCATACTCTCCTCTCCACATCCGATTGGAAGGTGAGTGGACCCTTAACCTAAGCGTTTTTGACGGATTCTTTTCCTTTTTTCTTTGCTGCCGGCCCACATCCCACCAATACAAGTGTACATGTACATGTTCGTGTACAAGAGCCATAGGGCGCACGCATAGTCGGTCGGACGACAGCAACGATCGTAACTGTCGCACAGCATTGGATGCGTATCGATCGTCGGACTTGCCTGAGTATTCGACGATTAGATGCAGTTAGACAGTCAGACAGTTGCGATCGTTGCTGTCGGACGACCGACTATGCGTGCGCCCATACCAGTGTGATCCTGGGGCATGCTTTTAAGGAATATGGCGAACTTTCGGCGTTCCAGCAGAGCGAAAACAGCGCCCGACAGTCGCGTGCCCCCCGCTCGCCTCCGAACCTCGAGTTTCACCGAATATATTGTCTTGTTCTGTGGAGGTGCGGGTTCACCTCCCGAGCTACACGGCTAAATTTTTTCGCTGGTTCTTCGCTGCGGGAATCCCTCTAAGCAACAGCTTAGTCACCGAGCGGCGATTTTGAAACTGCCACACCATGGCGAAAGAGTAACTGTTCCTGTAACTAGGAGCAGGAGGAGCAGACGGCAGAGCGCCGCGCCATCTCGTTGCCCCCCCGAACCCGATTCACCCACATTCCTTAACGAGGGCGAGTAAGATTGGCACACTGGCACATTCGGTATGTGCCATTACGAAATCCTTAGGGGCGACGTCGAGCTGAGTGCGAAGTATGCAGTTGTGGCAAGCTCGCATGTCACGTCACGGTACGGTAGTCCATCTGCAAAATGCTGAAGTTAGATTCTTGTTGGAAGCATGTCAGCTCAAGCCATGTCGCCGATCAATGTGCAATGAAACACAATTCTTTGCTCGTTTCTGCTCACCTTAGCAATGCCTATGATAGTTTCGCATAGAGACATTCCTACTTCATCAATAACTAAAAAATTGAAAAAGCGTGAGAGAAGGGTCTCCCCACTATGTCAAATTTAAGCAAATAAAACAATCGGGTATAGCCTTAAAATTGTGCACTGACTGCTTTGAAACAAATCACCTGCCCAAAGAAGTCGAGAAATGTTAGAAAGAGGATGAATTTCCAGTTGTGTAGTTCGGGGGGGGCGGTGATTCACTATAAGACATATGCTCAAAATGTTTGGGAGGACGGGGCACGAACGCGCATGCTGAATGTAGGCGGAGGGTTAGGGACTCCAGCATGGCCTTTCGTCGATGAGCCCCACTGGTTTAGAGCAGCGAGTTTGGGAGTGATCATTTTGTACTCCTACTGACTAGTATAGGGCGCCATTCGTTGCGGGACCCACTGCCTTAACCCGCGGGGATCCCATGTGATCGCGGTTGAATTCGAACATTCCAGCTTCTCACGCATGTCAAGTGTCTGCCCTCACCCCCCACCCCCCTAGACTGGCGACACTGCCCCTGGCTCACGGATTCCCCGCTCCACATTGAAGGGTTCACTGTAGCAGGAGGCAGTGGGACCCGTAACGAATGGCGTCCTTTACTAGTCAGAAGGAGTACAAAACGATGCGTTCCCAGTATCTCGGGTCCTGTGGTAACGAATTTTTCTTTTTTTAAGTTTACATCCCCCGAGGTCGCTTCACCGTATAGTAGTCGCTAGTGCGAAGTGGGTTGGAGGGGGGGGGGGACCACGTGCGGCGGCGCGGACGCTCTTTGTCGTCTGCTCCCCCAATGCTAGTCCAAAGGGCGTTTCCATTTTCGCGAATGGCAGTTTCGAAATACGCGCCATTGGGTGATTAAGCCTTGGAGGAGCAGACGAACAGAGCGCCGCGCCGCCGCGAGCCCCTCCCCAACCCACTTGGCACCATCGCTACACTGATGTAATAACCAATATGGCACTAAGTGAGAAGAGATACGAACAAAGATGTTCGTGAGACCTGGTTACTGGTTGGTGTCGACTCGCGTCGCTCCGGCACTGTCCATTCGGATGCAATCGTTCGCTGGGCGCCAGTGCCGGAGGTCGTACGCGATCGACATCCACTCTCTATTGACCACCGTTCTTGTAATGGTCACTGAGCGACCGCGATGCCTGCCGCACATCGATGCAGTCGACGTAGGTATCGATCGCGTCGGGCCATTGCCCGCCGCTTGCACTTTTGGCAGAGCGATTGCGCAATCGCGATGCAATCGCTTTTGGCAGACCGATTGCATCGTGATGGACAAGAGTCGGATAAGTGTCGACGCACTCTGCTCCGCACGGTCATTCGGCGCAATGCAATCGCCGAGTCTGACAAATAATAAAAGGATAGATGGACATGACTATGACTAATTAGCTAGAGGTATAGAATCAAATCTAGTCTAGTCTAGTATATAAAGCAGTAAAAGGGTAAACTGATGTGATTACAACAATATAGCAATATATACCTGGACGAATCTACAATATAAAACAGTGAAAAGGTGAAAACAAAATCGTAAAATCAAAGGACCGGTCAGTGGCCGCCCGGTCCCGCGACGAAACTCTGCTGGGAGCCCCAACATTCAGCATCGCGGGTCAGGGACCCCATCCCCTCCCCAGCATTCGGCATACGGCCCCATAACACTTGAGTACACCACGAGCATGGCTCTTGCGGTCTCAATCGGCGACTGTGAAAACAGCACCATGGCCGAAAGTCACGTGAAATCCAACGGCGAACAAGAGGAGGAAGAACGAAAATAAGTTCTCACAAGGGAAACCAAGAATGGTATCGTGTGATGGCGGTCCACAGTCGACTATTGTTTTCGTCTTGCTCTACGCAGATCCAACACGTGACACAGAATGATCACCTGAGGAACCCACTCTTCCTCTGCTCAACATGAACGCACTCTATACTTCTTCTCCCTTGCCCTGAGATGAATGGCGGCACATCAAGCAAGCGACGAAAATAAGTAAGAGGACGACAGAAGACATCGTGCCTGCCGAAACTGTGCAAAATTGTGAAACTTTATTGCGAAAACCGACAACAAACAAGGCATAGAAGGGTTTTCATATGGTTGAGAAGCAACCCAATTATTGGTGCACAATAATGGGATGTTGCTCAGTGACTTCTACACTTGGACGGGGCAAGGCGGGCGGTACCAGAAATATAACAAGAACGAGTGGAATAATTTAGCAGATCCCACCTTTTCGTGAGCTCGACCTAGTGTCATTTAGTGGGAGAGGGAGCTAACCCATAAGTTCGTCTGTGGCTAGAAGATAACGACGTGGGACAGAAACCGAAGGAAGTAAGAAAGACGAAGTAGCGTATTCACTAACAGTCTTATTAAGACTTATTAATATAGAAATTGCATGGGGTTTACATGACTGTGGGGCCGGGCCTGGAGCTACCATGGCAGAAACTCAACAGTATTCCTTATTACTCGACAGAAAAGATTTAAATTCTAATGTAATATTTAAAAAAAAACACGTAAAAAACGTGAGAACTCACACTTCAGTCTGTGCCGTGGCTAAGAAGAGGAGATGCTTTTCGAACGTCCATGGTTTAGTCGTGTTCCCCGTCAATTTATTCAGTGAATTCTTACGCCATTGATCTCTGAGATTCTTCCACGTCGTCTTTAACTCGAGCACTGAAACATGTTATGCCTGCTTTATCTTATCTGGCTATGTGAATCACCCAGGAAAAAACGTGACATACTTCCTCCATTGAAGCCGCACTCGAGCATCTGCTTATGAACTCTATTCCAACTCGCATTTTTCTTGTCGAGCCGGGAGTAGTCGTCAATCCCTGTGTTCCATATAGGCTCCTCCTCTTCTATAAGCCTGATAAGTCGGCATTTTGCCGAATAGTCCATTCTGAAATATACTCCGTACTCTAGAACATACTGAGGGAAATATCGAAATAATCGTATAACTATATCGAAACATCAAATAAGTAGCGAAACGTTTGCACGAAAAATTACCATACAGAGCGAAATTGGGAGTTAACAAATTGAAATAGAGAATTAACAATCAGCAGAATATGAAAGATAACCCGATGTGGGTGAAAATTAGTATTTAGTTTGATTGCTCTAATTATATTTAGTGATTAATTGTACTATCATAAGTATACCTTAGCGACATGGAAAAGATTCATCATGGAACCCTAGGAAGCAGGCTGCCTCGATAGGGGTCGTACTTACTGTTTGGTGATCGGGGTTCAATAGGGTGTGACTGGCAGTACACTATCAGCAGGCAGTGAAAGATTTGGATATATACGGACTCAGTTGTTGAGATATTTCCACGGAATTCCGCAAAATCAAAGGACATTCAGCGAAATCCTAAGCGGGACTTGCAGTGGGACTTGGAGAAAGTGGCTTTTAGCGAAGTTTACTCGACAGGTGACCCTACCGGCTTAGTGCTCAAAAAAAGCTGAAAAGTCTAAAAGCAATGAGTTCACGGTGGAAGCTCACGTACTACGCCGAATATCGTCTAGGCTAGGTATTTCCTACTCCACTGAAAGTTTGTTCCTATAACACTTTGTTCATACCTATTAGTCCTAACAATCCCCCAAAATAGCGCAAACTTCCCGCGAGTGTTAGAATGGTCTGTATCTGATTGTCTACAAAGCATTTCTGGGTATAACAACTTTTTTTTAATTGGGAACAATACAAAACCCAACATTCACATCCTTACAGTGTGATTATTCATCCATACAGTGTAGAAGAAAAAGGCTTTAGTCCCTGACACAAAGCTTTAATCGCCTTTCTTTTCAATGCATCCACGTATTACAATGTGCAGGAAGCATCGAACTAATTCTAGTGCGGGAAGGGGAAAGAGTGGTCCTACATAAACTCCTAGCGACCTATACAGGGGGTGACTACTAGTCGAGGAAAGTTAACCAATACGGCCCTCACCCCCCCCCCCTATTACCAAAAGACTCACCTCCACAGCCCTACACCTCCTCCTAATCTTTTCCATCCTGACCACACCTGATTTCCTTCCAAGACCATCGTCCGTTGTGTCGGTTTCAGAACTTTCACAACCCCGCGGAGCGAAAAACTTCATACTCTCACAGTTGATGGCGCGATAGCCGAAATTGGCGTTGAACGGGTAGGGAGGGGCGGGGGAGGGGAAGGGGAGCGAGCCAGTGGGGTAAACATAGCTGTTGGAGCAACCAATTCCTACAGTTACTGCCCATTCAGCACACATCTTCCATCACCACGATCTCTTCGAAAAATCTAAGATATTATACAATCCCCCACCCGCTAACTACGAATAGAACCCTCTTTCAAAAATGGCATGTTCCCTCCCCCACCCCACAAAATGTCTGTCATGCGTAGAGTGTACTTATTATAGCCAAAAATGAAAATAATTGTCAGAATTCCACCGAAGAATAATAAATCTCCCGGACTTTTACTTTCCAACTACGTCATACGCTCACTTCTTCCATCAGTCAACCTTTCCTTCAAGAAGCGAGAAAGTGT